TCACTCTACATTATGCTAGAGGCTTCCTCTTGTCATTTCCTGTCGTGCTAGAGGCTCCCTCTAGTCACTCTTCGTTATGCTAGAGGCTTCCTCTAGTCATCTTACGTTATGCTAGAGGCTTCCTCTAGTCACCATTCAATATGCTAGAGGTCCCTCTAGTCATATTATCAAATTCCTAAGCAACTTCTATGCCTAGGATCACTTTATATTGAGTAGCCTTTAAGGCTCACCCCTAGCTTAACTTAGCATTTACACATTCCTAGCTTAAAGTATCTCATAGGACTACTTAAGGTATATCTTTCACAATCCAAGCCCTTTGGATTTATTCTATCATTTTTCATGCTAACATTCTAACTAGTTTTTCAATACTAGTCAAGTAATCTTAGAACAACCAAGTTCTTAATTCATAGTCATATTGCTCATCTCAATTGATTTTCCAATCCAAATATGATTTAACCCCAATATCAAAAATATCACTTTTATCCATTCATGATTTCTTTACATGAAGAAAAAGTATATTTTATCATAATATTTCACAATTAATTTCATTATCATGCTATCATATTCATAATACACAATCATACACAATCTCTTCTAAATTTGTATATCATGCTTCATTTACTCATATGCAATATTATTTTCATTTAGGCATTATTAATCATTAATAATCCATTAAAATCACATCTAATACTTCAGGTAATCTTATGAAATTAACTCACTAATTATAAGCAATATAGTCGGTCATCCTCACCTCGGATGAGCTTTAAGAAGTTCTACCCTTCTCGGTTGAACTCCGGCGAAACTCCGATGATACTCCGGCGACAATTAGGAACACCTTAGTCAAGATCCTAACAAGGTTTTATCATCACAAAACCCATATCAACACAAATAACCTCTAAAAGGTTATTTTCCGGCGAACCGGTCATTTGGCTTTTAAGTCTGTTCTTGGACTTAGAACTACCTTCCAACCCCTCATTCTACATATCTAAACATGTAGAGCATCTCCAGGGATTCCTCATGTGCTATATAAGTCATATGGAATTTAAGTGAAGGAAGAAAAGCTACTTAAAGAGCTTCTTACCTTTATTCCCAAGGTTTTTCTCTTCTTTTGTAACTTCTTCTTCTTCCTTGAGCTCCTTGCTTGCTTGAGCTTTCTTGGCTATGGAGAGTAACAATTTCAGAGCTCCTTTCCTTGTTTAGAGTGTGCTTGGCCGAAAATGAGGGATAGAAAGGAGTGAGGATAGCTCTTTTGTCTCATTGACACAATGAGTGTGTGATGAGGAGTCCACCTCATGTACCTTAGATGCTTTAACAATCAACCCCAACATCTCCCATCTTCCTCCTCTCCTTCCAGCCGTCCAAACCCTGTTTTGTGTGACTACTTTCGTGGGTTGGCCCCAACCCATGTGGGAGGTCAATCTTTTAAGTCCAGAAGTGTACAATTGGCCCCGAAAGTTGTATTTTTCGGACTGTTTTAATTATATTTTATTTTATCGGGTCAAATAAAGTATAACACATGTTCCAAATCATTAAAGGCCTTTAAAATGGATGTAAATTCCCCAACTTATATTTAGGAGTCTCCGAAATTCATTTCGGGCTGTTATCCGATAAATTACAAATACCGGTAATTGGACCTCGTTTGACCAACGAGTCAACTCAATGCCTTTTCTATGGCCCAACTAAAATATCCACCACCATATAGATCATATCCATATCAAGATGAATATAATATGTGGTTCTGGAATTATCGGGTGGTCCCGATTCTCGGTGCGCGCCCCGCGTGCGATTCACTATTCACGCAAAAGAAATAACAAAAATTTACAACTTCGCAAATTCATAACTCATTGCTCAAGGTTTATTACATGATTTACTGAAAAGTAAAATATGTTTGGGGACGGTGTTACAGTAGGCTTCTCGCTAACATCCTCTGCAAGCTCGTCTTCACTGTCCGGGATTATCAGGAGGTCATCCTCTTCTGGGAAGTTCTGAGCTATGCACCTCGGATGGAGTACCGATACAGGGTCTACAAAATCCAATGCCACCGCATCATCCGGAAAAAGACCCTCTTCACTGTCAGGGACGATGACCTCTTCAATAATCTCCCTCACAACCTCTGTCGGCTTCTCGCAAACATCCGGGGAATTCTAATCCATATATTAAGGTGGCTGGGATGGAGTACTGATACAGGGTCTGCGATTGAAACTATTAGGGTTTAGATCCAAAAGATTGTGAGAGAGAGGGAGGCGGAAGGGTAGATTTACAGAGGGGGAGACGGTTGAAGTAAATGAGAGAAGGAGACCGATGCAGTGACATAGAAAGAGGGAGGTGGTGGGAGTAAATGGGAAAGAGAGATGTGGGGTAAATGGGAGTACATAGTATTTTTAAAAGGGGAGGGCAAATTAGGGTTTTTACAATGGGTTGGTTTCCTTTTTTGGAAAGTTGGAAGAATTTATCGGGACGGTCCAAAAAGGAAAGTTGGAAGAATTTTCCGTGACAGAGGGAGTATTAATTAAACACAATGTAGGGTAAAAATGGGGTACATTTTGGGGTACCTCTAGCAAAACTTTTAGTTAAATGGTTTTTTTCGTATTGCTTTTCTTTTCCGCCGCAGGACTCTTCCCTTCGTTGGTTTTACCTAAGCCTCTAGACAGTCAAATCCGGATATTATCACAGTCAGCCTTCGTCGGTATTGGTACCACAGGACGAATCCAGCAGGATTTCCTTTCGATTGAATCCAGAAGGGTCCTCCTACTATGCGGGGCTTCCTTTCATCTGTATCCAAAAGGGTCCTCCCACCACGCGAACTCACGACCTGAATTTCCATCCGCTCCCTTCTAAGCCGTTGTGAAACTCCGTGAAGGTAGGAAGAATCATTGGGAGCAAGACCTCCCTCCTCTTCCCTAAATGTGCCTAGCGGGATTCGAACCTGAGACCTCCGCTAGGACACGGTAACCTCCTATCCAGTGAGCTGGAATGGTTGGTTTCGTTTCTTTTCCTGTTTGTTGTTTTTACTTTTTTTCTTTTATCTTTTTTCTTTTCTTTCTTTCGTTGCTTAATTTTTTTTTGGATGAAATGTAAATTTTTTTCGTTGCTTACTTGCTTTTATTTGTTGTCTCCTTCTTTCTTTTTCTTTCTTTTTTTCTTTAGTAATTTTTTACTTTAATTTTATTCAATTATTATGAAAATGTATTATATAGAATATTATTATTTAATGTTTGAGTTTCTTTTTTTCTTTTTTTCTATTTTCAAACAACCTTCTAACTTAAGTTTTATTAATTTGTACATTATGAAATATTTTAGGTATTAATGTTTTTTTCTATATTTAATTTTAAGATGAATATTTTTTAGTTTATTAAATGTTGTGTGTTATTACTAACATGAGTTTTGTGTTATATTAAAATGAGTATAGTATAAAATAAATGTGCATGGATAAATATTGTAAAAACAACAAGGTTATATTTGTAACTCAAGAACAAAAGACTATAAATTATTTTTAATAAAACATTTTATATTTCTCATTATTATATATAATGATATAGTTTATTAAATTGTTAATAATAAATCTACTAGATTTACATATTTTTTACTCCGTATTCGAATGAGTGTAATGATCGAAACAAATTAGCATTCACAAATGAATAATTGAACACATTAGAGAATTCAAATGCGCTTTTGAATTTTTCGATACTTATGTATGTTAATGAGCTAACCTATTATTGGTTTTATGCTCATTTTAAAATATCATATTACATTAGATTCGCATGAGAGTTGATTATAGACATTTTCATTAAGCATAAAACCTCTGCTATTGAGTATTAGAAGCATCAAGCATGCATGATGTTCAATATTAGCCTATTGATACTCAACAGAATAAGTCTGATGCTCATTTAAAAATACATTAATGCTCATTTAGCGAAGTCGTAATTTTCAGTTAAATTACAAAAATGTCATCGATTGTATTATGGTCACTTTACAACCTTCTATACGGTATACAAACTCACAGTTTGGTAGCTCTTTTGCGTAATTGCTTTGGGTACAAAATGTCACGGTTTCAAATCTTGTGATCCCAACTTTATTACCGTTCTCCTATAAGGAGTTAGAGAATTTAATTATAAAATATGCACATACCGTTGGATAATTAGCATTGACACCAACTAAAATCCTCCGTCCAATATGGCCATATGTGTTCGTATCATATTTCGGATAAGGTTGAATCTCATATTTACTTCTTTGCAATGAATGTACAGATTTTACCTGGAAAGTCACTAGCCTAATTGAATTAGCTCTCAACTTTGTAGTTTATCATTGTAAGAAAAAGGAAAAGATAAACGCTAGCCTAATTGAATTAGCTCTCAACTTTGTAGTTTATCATTGTAAGAAAAAGGAAAAGATAAACGCAAAATGGAGGTCGAATTTTGATGTTTATTATGCAGGAATTATAATCTAGTATTAATCCTAACAGCCAAAAACAGACAAGAATCTGTGACAAGAGCTGTGTACTAGGAAGCATTCCTGCAATCCTGCCCAAAAACCTATTTGCTAAGAACTAAACTAAGGTATCTATCCACAGTCTCTATAGTCTATAGATCAACTTGAGCTAGCTTGAAGGATGTCAAGGAAAGTAGCCACTGGAAAAGGTATTGTGAGTCCTCCCATAGGATGATCAAATCCGAATTCCTCCTCAGCTTGACTAAGCAAATCCTGGAATGATGAGTCCTTCAAGTATGATATCGGAAGGACAAAACGCTTCTTTTCTTCCTCGCCTACATAAACTGCAAAGTGGCCCTTAGGAACCTCACTTTCTGTGTTTGTTCTTGAAGAAGACCTCCTCAGGATTGGCTTAGTTGCACGCAGAATTTTCGCCATACTAACTGCCATGCTTGAATGTTTCTTGATTTTTTAGCTAGAGGAAATTATTTGCAGATGTAAACTCTTTTAGGAGATGTGTGAATGTCAGATCTTGAGTTGGGGAAATAACTAGTTACATTGATGTTATATAGATCCACTGGGAGGAGGATAGAGTGTCAAATGGAAAGGCTGCCAGGAGTGCCAGCTTTCAAGACATCAACAAATGGTTTTGTCTTTCCAAAAAAAATCAACAAAATGGCTTGTCTTTAGACATTACTGCCCACATGCTTTAATGAATCTTGAACAGATGTGGATATCTTAACCACTTCTTTCTCTACAATATAGCCTACCAATTAGTTTAAGCTTGATTTTTTATTAGAAAACAAACCATGTGATTTCACATTCTGAGGTTTTAATGTATGAAAAACACCATATTTTATAGGTTTCTGTTGAAGTCTGAGAGGGTGCACCACCAACCATTAGGTGGCACTGCACATGGTTTTGCCTTTTTCCTTCACAGCTTAAATAACTTTGTTCCATATGCTTTTTCATGTCCAAGCTAAGGTTGGAATATATATTTGGAAATGCGCCATGTTTACTCATAGAGTTAAGTCCAGTGAACAAGTTTTTTAGGCTATTATGCTCATAGCTTCACATAACTCTTGATGGTTTTTCGTTTCAATTTATTCAAATATGGCAGGAAGTACTAATCGTTTAACTCAGACATTACGACACATAAAAATTATTATTTTCGACTTCCTCAATGATAGTTTATAACTGCACATCCTCTTGCAGTCTACACAGAATGCAATAATCAACCAATCCTTCGAATCTTTGCTAAATATGAAAAACCAATTACAAAGTGAAGCTATTAGACCATGAAGAAATTAGTTCAGGGTTAAGTGATCATAATATCATTCAAACTGTGCATCAAAAGATGTATACTTTAAAATTTCTGATTACAACGAAGTTCATGTAACAAAATTTAACTCCTCTAAGCTGATATGTGTGTGTGTGTGTGGTTTCTGAGATTCTACATGTCCTTATCTAATAAGGACAGAACAAAAAGAGAAAAAAAAGACTACATTTGTACAGGCAAACTCCTCTCTTTTATTAACATTTTTCCTACTTAACTGAGCTGCTGGTACAGTCTCTCAAGGTCTACTATGTACTCAAACCGGAGATGACTAAAGGTACGGTGATTCCAACAAGTTGATGATCAAATGCAAATTCTTTATCATCTTGAGATAGCAAGTCTTGGAATGAGGATCCTTCAAGTATGATACCGGAATGACAAAGCACTTCATCTCTTACGCCCACGTGAACTACAAAGTGCCTATTATTAACCGAATGTGGTGAATAGGGTTGAATGTAATTATATGTGTATATATGTCTTAGCTATTGAACAAATGTGGTGAATATGCATACCGGCTGAAATGTGTTTATGTATATAAATCCCATAAGATGTGAATTGGGCGGTGGCTAAAAGAATTTGGATGGGAGGGATAGCCATATATTATGTTAGTATGACTGGTAATGTAGTTCCAGTTTCCAATACATAGTAAATGTGGTTTTTAAATAACCTTCAATAAGATATTGATTTACTGTATGAGAACCAGCCCCCTCATATGTGTCATTTCAGTTAAGTTCCAAAGCTATTTTTTATTAACACTGCTGTGAAGTTTTTCTTTGCAACTAATAATGAATAAATGAACATTTTTGTGTCATATAAAACTTTTTTTCATTCAAGTTTTTGGTCAATTACAAAGTATTGTTGGTAGTAGATTCAAAGATCACTTACTGTGTTGTGAGTAACAAGACAAATCAGAAAAACCTCCAAAGCAAATTGGTAGATGTAGTATGAAGTTATAGTATATTCTCTAAGTAATCCGTACAAGATAAATTTTCCTGCCAAAAATAATTGTTCACTAAACTAAACTAAGTCATCTCTAAATGTATTTCTACAATGATGATTAACTCGAGCTAGAGATGATCTCAAGGAAAGTAGCTTCCGGACAAGGTATTGTGAGTCCTCCTCCCATAGGATGATCAAATCCGAATTCTTCTTCAGCCAGACTGAGTAAATCTTGGAATGCTGAGTCGTTCAAGTATGATATTGGAAGGACAAAACGCTTCGTTTCACCTTCACCAACATAAACTGCAAAGTGACCCTTAGGGACCTCAATTTCTCTGTTTGTTCTGGAAGAAGACCTCCTCAGGCTTGGTTTAGTAGCACGCAAAATTTTGGCCATACTAACTGCCATGGTTGAATGTTTATGGTTTTAGCTATAGAAAACTATTTGCAGAAGCTAGTTGTTTTAGGAGTTGTGTGAAGTTGTTTGGAGTGGGGAGAATGTCAAATTCAGTTGTGGTTATATAGGTATAGCCATTGAGGGAGGGATTGAGTGAGTGGCTCAGAAAAATTTACATGGAAGGCCAGCCACCTTGGAAAGATAAGAGACACCAACAGCTGGTTTTGTCTTCCAAAAAATTATAACATATTTTAGTACACTAAAAATCCTCTGTATTTAAACATCATTCCCCACACGCTTCAATGAATCTTATGTAGATGGGGATATCATAACAACTTTTTTCTCAAAAAGAAAGCCTCAAATATTAATTTGAATTTGTAGATTATTAGGGAAATCAATGTGATTGATTACACATTGTGTTTATTATACGGAAAAACTCCACACCAACCAGTAGGTGGCACATGGTTTTGCCTACTTCCTCAATATGTTAAATAGATCACTTGCTCAATAGTAATCAAGTTTTGTAGCAAATTGACTCTTGTGAAATCTAAAGAAATCTAAGAGAACTCCAATGCAACTATGCAAGGTGTGGTCTCTTACACACCCTTACGCATGGACCTATTTTTTATCTCACAATTTTTATGTGTAGGACCCATGTATTTCCTAATTTATTTTCATTTTCATTTTTTTATATCACTTTTAACCCATTTTTCATCAACTTTTTCTCCCCAAATCCCGTGTAAGATCCATTGATGGACCTTGTCATAGACCTAAGTCCATTTTTTATCTCTATCTCTCTCATCTTTTTCATTTTTCCCTACACACCACTTCATTCAAATTTTCATTCTATCTCTCTCCTATGCCACGTCACTGCAATGCACCCTCCCATTGGAGATGACTTCATAATCATCATCATCATCATCATCATTTATTTATTTATTTGATTCCATTACTCAACATACACACATTAAACTACGTGAAAATTTGAAGTATGATCATTCTATTTGTTGTCACTAGCATCAGTGATACAGTTTTTAGATACTATATATATAGCATATACAATAACTTGTTTAGTGTCATTTTGTCTGTAATTGCTCGTCTTTTTTCGATTCCAGATGATCTGACTTGTAAGCCTATCATTCTTAGAATTTCATTTACTATGTTCAACAAAAGTTCTGTATTAATTTGTGAATATTTTAGCATTTATGTTTACAAGAAATTCATGTTTCAAAACTTTAACCTCACTAAACGAACTCGTGTGCAGTTTCTCAAAACTTGTACTCCATGCTCACTTCTTTCATCAGGTGCCAAATGCAATCTAATTTCTGTAGATTTGTAGAAGAGAACCCATCTTATTTATAACAAAATTTTACCACAAAACTGAGCTGCTGGTGGAGTCTCTCAGTGACTGCTACTCAAAGTGGAGAGGATGTAAAGAACCTCATTTCTCAATTTGTTCTTGAAGAACTCCTTCTGAGGCCTTTTTAGCATGGATAATGTGCCTCACACCCACTCCCATGTCAAATGATCCTTCATAAAGTAGAGGGAGTAGCTAACAAATAGAAAAAACAAATGTGATTTTAGAATTACTTTCCATCAGACATATTTATATTTACTGTAGCAGAACAGGATGGTGATGACTTAAAAGGCCTCCCTCAATTTGTGATTTAACATAAGCTCCAAAGTTCATATTCATAGCTTTGCAACATAAATGTACAGATTATCTTTGGAAATGGATTAAAAAGCATTATTATAAAATATTAAAAGTCTTATCAATCAAGTTTTTTTTTATGAATATATTCCTCCCCCAAGGTTTCAATTACAAGAGAGTGCTCCATCTATTGTCTGTACTAGGCTACTAGCTTCAGTTACTGTGTTGCGAGTAACATGATAAATCAGAATAAGTTCCAAAGTAATGAAGTTATAGTATATTCTCTGTTTTCAATGTCAACTGTACAAGGTAACTCTTATACCAAAAAAGAATTGTTCACTAAACTACACTATGCCATCTCTATCTGTATTCTATGATAATGATCAAATCGAGCTAGAGATAATGTCAAGGAAAGTAGCCTCGGGACAAGGTATTGTGAGTCCTCCCATTGGATGATCAAATCCGAATTCTTCCTCAGCTTGACTGAGCAAATCTCTGAATGAAGAGTCATTCAAGCATGATATCGGAAGGACAAATCGCTTCTTTTCACCCTCACCAACATAAACTGCAAAGTGACCCTTAAGAACCTCACTTTCTGTGTGAGTTCTTGAAGATGATCTCCTGAGGCTTGGCTTAGTAGCACGCAGAAATTTTGTCATACTAATAGCCATGGTTGAATGTTTCTTTGTTTTTTAGCTCTAAAAACTATATGTAGTTAGATTCTTTAAGGAGTTGTGTGAAGAAGGTATTATGAGTTGGGCAGAATACAAAACTCAGTATTGCTTATATAGATAGATCCAATGGGAGGTTGGTTGAGTGAGTGGCTGAAAGATATCTACGTGGAAATCCTGCCAGCCTTCTATGATAAGAGACATCAACAACAGGTTTTAACAAAATAATACAAGAACATGGCATGTCTGTAATGAATCTGCAGTAGATGGGTTCTTCTTTACTCAACGATTCAATAAATCTTGAACAAATGGGGATATCCTAACTACTAATGTCTTTACAAGAAAGCCTACCTATTAGTTTGAACCCCTAAATTATTAGGAAACAGACCATGTGATTTCACATTGTATGGTTGTAGTGTATGGAAATATTTCAGATTCCATAGGTTCATGCTGGATGGTGAAAGGCTCCACCAAACAGCTAGCTTTGAGTTTGGTATGACTGAGACATTACCACATGGTATTGTCTTTAAGCATTATTCCCTTACATGGTTCAGTAAAATTGAATAAATGGCGATAGCTCAACTAGTAGGAGACCTGTCAAATGTCATATGAATTGGTTAGGAAACATACCTTGTGATTCCTAATTTGTATGTTCCTGGAAAAGGCCACACTTCAGATCATATGTTTTTCTGATTGGCCAAGTGGCCCCCATATGTCTACTTTGCACATGGTTTTGCCTTCCCTTAAATAGATCATTTCACAAGTCCACTGCAATCTGCTCATGGCTAAACACTTAAATAGATCATTTCCTTCGGCAATCTGCTCATCAACAACTGCAATCCAGTCCAGTCAAAATCAGTGCGTGGTTTTTGCTGATCTTGCTCAATACCATATCAGTTCGAAGAGGTTTGTTGCTTCTGAATGAACATAATAGCATTTTCAGGACTAGAGCTATAATGGAAGATTTAACTATCTTCGCAAGACAGAAAGAGGTGTCCATCTTCGTAATTTATTTCTTCATTTTATTAGCATTTGATTGGTGCAAAGAGGTTACTGAGCCATTTCAGACAGCTATTATACCTTTCCCTTGGAAGAATCCATGAAGACAGAAAGTTCTCTGTTAGGCTTAATGTTCGTAATTATACTCAGGTAAGATATGGGAATCAAGCAAATAAGCTCAAGAAAAGAAGACAATCTTCCTCGTTCTTCTATATGAAATTGGCTCAGGGGCTGCCCTCAAGAGATTTGGAGAATTCACTTGAAAGCACAAAATTTTGTTTGTTTCAGCATCATAGAAGCTTTTAAAGATTCAAGCTTTTAGATCATTATGGGTGATAGTCCATCACACTACAGATATGGTTTGACTTCCTTTGACAGTGCTAAATGGAAACCTCACTGTAGAGTTAAAGCTGACAACAAAGGTGATATACTAATTCATTGGGCAGCCACTGTAGAGTTTAATCTGCTAAAAGCATGACCAGAAACAATATTGCAGGAGTTAAAGGCAGTTTTCTTCTTACAAATACATACATCACATAATGGAAGGTTCTCTTTCAGCTCTTCTAGAAACTTGGTAAGAAACAGTAAGGTCTCAGAAATAAGCTCTCAATAGATGATATTATCATTGTCATATCTGCCCTACCTAGTGTTGAGTCTATTGAATCTGCTCAAAGGAACTGGAGGTAATTTTCTGATTCATTGGGTCTTAAAAATCATAACCAAGAAGTTGTATCTTTGAGAAACTTATGCTATCCCAAAGTAGGGAAAGTGAGATTAACTTTTACATGGGTTCATGATGGCTTAATGCTTGTGTTGCTCGCGAGCTAGTGGTGGAAATTAAGAACAAAAAGGAATAGTATGGATTGACTAAATGAAGGCCATATTGTGTGAAGGGTCCAGCCTGTTTCTAAGGTCTTGTGGCATTAGGGCTTCTTTACATCTCCATTTGCTGATGGAAAAATTCCCAGATTGAGTCAATT